AACAAAATTAAATACATAGTCTCACCTGTTCTGAGCTACTGCAGAGAGTCAGTGTTTGTCAAAGTGAGGAATAAAGGAGGCTCCCTAAAATGTAATACTGCTTCCCCTACTACTGTAGAACACAGAAAATTCAAAGACCACCACAGGAAATGTAATGCAAATAAATAAGACAGAGAACTGATTGAATTAATCTTTGCCATATTTAATTCAATAAAGCTTCCACTTTTGAAATTACCTCAAGCTGATGGAGAATTTCGAATTTATCACAGAACTTGGAATCAAAATGATACCAACAACAGAGAAACACAGTTAAATATCCTTACCCCATCTATACCTCAATTATCTTTCTTTCTTTCTAGGATCAATTAATCAAGGTAGAAAAATCAAATCTCACTTTTGCAGCACCTGCCTTTCCCAAAGGATAATTTCAGATGTATTACAGATGTGTATTACCATTTCATTACAGTCTGGATTGCTTTTTAACCTAAGAACTGTTCCTTCTGAGCCCTGAAACAGAAAATATTTTTTACTAATATATATACTTCAGAAAAATGTGACTTACAGTCCTTTATAAAATGTTCCACCTTTCCAGAAAAACATGAAAGATCAAGAGAAGTGTCCCCGAGTGGATTACAGAATGGCAAATGGGTCTCAATGGCATGTTTATTGTTGTTGTTATTGCTTGATAGAGTAAAAATGAAGGTATGTTCAAAGGTGCCTTTATCCTGAACAAACAATTTTGTAGTAGATTGACATAAAGAGAATTCATAACTGAAAAGATTACAGTTAGTGTATTATGACAACTGTACGTATTGTAGCTCTCTGTTTACAACCTTCCACCTCTCCTAAGCAAGCCCAGGTTTTAATTTTTTTTAGATTTCTACAGCATCTTACCCAGTGGGGACCCCAACGGGCAATTTTGGATACCCTTTTAAGTAAGAACAAACATAATTACACAATCTGGGTTTGCTGTTGCCTGCAGGAAGCACCTTCCTAAGTACCTGCGTTAAAGATGACCACATCTAGACTGTTGTCTGTATGAAAGTGTGTTTCTGCCTTCCTTCAAGACCAACAGGTAAGTCAAATGTCGCAGCTTTAAGTGTAGGAATATGGCTTAGTGCTGTTCCCTCTTGTTTCAAGTAGTATCTTCCAGGGCTAAAGAGATGAAAGGACAAACCTTAACTGTAAGCCTTTGCTTTCCCTTACTCTGATGAGGAGGTTGCATCTTCCTGTTCCCTTCCTTCTGAACCTCCTGCTTCATCGTGACAGATCTCTCCAATGCTGCCTTCATCTGATGGAGGATGAAGCACCCATTTGCCCCCAAATTGTTAATTCATACCCCTCTGCTCTTTTCCTTATCAATAAAACATCCAGCAGACTGTCAGTTTGCCGATGTAATAAGCTTTCACAGCTAAGGGAAGGTGGGTGCCAAGGATTATTAATAGTGTTCCTTGATCAGTTAAGGGAAAGATAAATGTGACACCGTCACCAAAATCCCTGAATATCTGATACCAATGAGGAGTGGGTATCACCTACCGAAAATAGAAAGAGCAAGAGAGATTATATAAGTGGGGTTCCTACCCCGAGTTCCACCTCTCTTTAACTGCCTCCAAATCTAACCTTTTCCAGCGTGCTTAAGAGAGATCTAAAAGGTAAGTAGCAAGAAATGTTAACACTTCCACAGCAAGCGTGGATTCACCCACTCCCAGAAGAAACCCCGGACCTTCGTCTGAAGAAAAGTAGATGCGAGATTCTTCCAGCACTCCGACCCGTCCCCCTTCCCACAAATAAAAGTCAAGAGAGACAAAGAGGTGCAAATCTTCAAAACGCGGAGGAAAGGCTTCCCGCAGAGACTTCAAACGCGAAGAAAGGGCCATGTAGCTGAACACATTAAGAGAGAATGAGGAGAAAAAAGGGGGAAAGTGAGAAAATGGAAATAAGGAAATAGGAGAGGAGAGAAAGTGAAAAAAAGCCGCGAGCAAAGATTTGGTAAACAGAATTTACTGAAGCGCTTGATAGTAAACCAAAACAAAACAAAACCTGTCCCAGGAACTAAGTGCTTGTTTATGCACAGATGATGGTAAGCGATGAGACCTAGTTGCTCTCCTTGGTGTGGTCTTTAGAAACATACAGGAAATGTGTCTCCCTTTTTGCAAAGGTCTCCCGGGTTTCTGCTTGTCTGCAACTACAGCTTGAATGTTTGGCATGGGGGTTTCTTGCTGCTCGTTACGTTCTCCTTCAATCGTTTGCCTTTGACAGTGGTGGTTTGATTTCTGTTTAATTTATTTGATCGTTTACTTCGTAAGAATATCATCATTCTGTCGCAAGCCGAAAGGGGAGCTGATCTACATGAAAGCTTCTTTGCAACTTGGAAATCCACGATATGGATTTTGCAAAGAGTTTGGGCAGTAAAACTGGCAAAAATTCATTAAAAAAAAAAAAAACACGCCATCCTTCCTCCGAAAGATGATGAGAAAAAGGTGAAGGGCCGAGTGTGAAACTGCTAATTCGTGAAACGCCTTTTTAATTAGAATAACATTTTTAACTAAAGTTTGGTGGCTAAAACCTTCTAGAAGTTTGCCAGCTGTCCTTAAAACGGATGTACTGCTGAGATTATAGATGGGCCTCAGCAGTCTCTCCACTTTTGATCCAAATTGTCTGGTTTGCAAACCTACATGTCGTTGCTTTCAGCTTTCTGACTGATTGGTACGGCCTCTCGACTTTTGAATCAGAGATGTGAAACTACGGGTAATGTTATTTATACCGTACAAATGACTCCACCTAGTCTGAAGCCTCATTTGCACTATTTTCCTGGTACTTCTCATTTTACATTTTCACAGCAAGTTTAGGCCTTAGCGCCCTGACAGATCCAATTAAGAGGGAAAGTGTGTTCGCGGGGGGGGGGGGGGGGGGAAGATATGCATCGTTAAGGATGCGGAGGGAGCTCCTGGGCTCCCACCCCTGAGGCACGAGCAGTGAATGCGCCTCAAACACCAGCTAACTACGCGCCTCTGGTTGGTTCGCTTGGCCTGAGGCTATTTAACCCGATTCACGTCTGCCAGCACAGCAGGCAAAGCTGTGCATCACCTCTGCCAGCTACAGGGCTTGAGTTACGCGCGAGGCAGCCCTCCAAATGTGCTCCTGCTTTGTCAGCAGAGCGGAGCTGACACCGAAATACGAGTCACCCGCACCAAGAGCATCTTCACTGGCTGGTGATCAGGAACCTTGCTGTTTGTAGGGCCATAAAAAGAGGCTCTGTGACTCGAGGTGCGAGTAAACCTCAGCAACGAGTCTGCAAACTCGTTTGCTGTAAGAAAGAAAAGGAACTGTGGTGACTGAGGCCTAATTCCTTTGCGAATTGCACTGATGCTCCATTTAGCAAAGAAGGAAAGAAGATGGATGTCATATATTAGATGTCATGTTAGACTGGTGACTGGAAACGCTAGAAACAAGAAGGGACTTTTCTCTCTTCTCCCTATTAAGAAAAAGTAAGGAGACCCTAATTACAGAAGATTATGCAACAGGCACATTGATTTTTTTCTTGTAAATAGTTGTATATCGACGGGACTACATTTAAACTGAGTGTAAAACAGACGAAAAATTGGTGGGTTTTAGCCTGTGCTACAGGAGGCGACTTTAGTGGGTACTTTTCCAACGTCATTCTCCAAACTGAACTCCGTTGAAGCACGGGACCGGAGTACTATCTTCATTGCACCCTCTCACTTCCCCTTTCCGAAAAGGCTGTGGGGAACAGCGGCGAGCAGCTGCGTGAGCTGTCTGTGTCGGAGACTGAGCAAAGCCCCGCTGTGGGGCTGCAGTTTGTCTTGGCTAAACATCCTGCTGCACAGCTTCTTCTTCGCTATAGATCAGGGGAGAGCACGTTCAAACTGGAGAGGAGTCGGCTCCCGTATCTGCCACCGTTGTTTGTCCTTGGAGAAAGCAAAGCCTCTCTCTTATCTCAGGAAATACAGAAACATGGGGGGAAAGTTCCAACGGGAGAAAAATGACAGTCCCTCCCACAGCGAAGAGTTGCTGTTTTCTTTCTTTAAAAAAAAAAAAAAAGAGAGAAGGATCCCCCCCCAATGTCACCTCCTCCTCCATCCTTCTGCGCTCAGTGGCAGGCTAATGACTCACCCGCTATTGCTGAACTTGGGCCGCGGGAAAGAAAAAGGGGGAGGAAGAGCTCATATTTTTAAGAAACGCTGAAGAATTACTGAAAGAGCGAATAGAGTTTTTCAGCAGCCGCCTCCTTTTTTAAGGCCGCTCTCTCGCAGTCTCTCTCAGGACAACGATGCAATTGCGTCAGCGGGAAGGAGCGGCGGGATCCAACTGCATCTGCTGATACTGGTGTAGGGATCCTGCAGCCACCGCGCTTCCCTCCCCCGCCTTTCTTCACCTGAAGATGCCAGTATTCCTGCAGAGATCTGCCCTACTACTGGGCCCTAATATTGGCTATCTCACCCGAATGGCTCCTGCCCAAACTCTGAAAATGAGTTGGACTATGCCGTATTTTATGCGAAAAATGGGCACAGTTTCTTGGAGAAAACAAACTTAGAAAATACATTAGAATTCCTAAATGTTTTATTGGCTCTTTTGACAATTTTAGGAAGTGCCCAGTCCCAGCTAAGAACCCTACCACTGCACAAGAACTACGTACAAGCGTGTTATCACCTCACATCTCGTTTCACCATATTATATCGTGGAATATTCTGCAGCATATTGTGCATTACAAATGGGATCTGTAGGATTCGCAGGGATGTGTTAATTAATTCAGCGAGGATGATGCTTAATATGGACTGGCCCAAAAGAAACGAGGTCTAAAAGGAATGTGTGTGAAGGGGAGGGAGGAGGAAGAAGGGAGAGTCGTTTGAAGTGTTTGAACGGCAAGGCAAATGTTAAAAAACTACATTTGCTTCCCGACCTCAAGAGCTGCTTGAAGCTTGGCATATGCTGCAGTTCCTTACTCATCACCGAATATAACTGGTAAAGCCGATCCTTCCTTACTAAACAGAAAGGATCTGCTCTGCAGCAGTAGTCCTTCCACTGCACCTAAGAGCTTGACCTTGGCACAACTTTCTCCCGTCGGTATTACAACGGACTCTGGAACTGCTCCAGTAAGGCTTAGGCTCCAGTCTCTCCGAGGCTGACCCCCACTTGCATCCTCCCGCCAACCTGGTCCCCACAAATACATCCCCGCACCCTCTCTTTAGCAGAACGCCTGCTTCTGTGGACTGCTTGGTGCTTTGCAAACTGGAGAGCGACAGCCCATGGCACGCATCCACACAGAGCTATATAGCTGGCACAGGTCCAGCCTTTCCCGGTGTGCCATCCCCACACAGCACTGCAGCTTTGGTCATATGAGCAGAAATGATGAGGAAAGCACTTTTTAATCTTTTCGCACTTGCTTCCCTGTTCAAACAGTTGCAGGATGGCTATGACTGACGTGCTCAGCGCTGAGGATATCAAGAAGGCTGTGGGAGCCTTTTCAGGTGAGTGCTTTTTCCCTCCCCCATCCCTCCTTCCTCTCCTCAGCCTAGAACAGTAGTGCATTTATTTCAGCTGAGGGGAGATAAGAGGATCTAGCTAGATAAAATATCAAACGAGGATGCGTAAAGAAGTGCAGTGAAAGCATGATGGGATTATGAAGTGCGGGGCTGCATCCTCCGCAAAGTTGCCCTGTACATTACAGAGGTGAAATGCTCATTCATTTTAAAGGAAAGCAAGTGGTAACTGCAGACAGACTCTGCTTCTAGCGAGGGGATACTTACAAAGGGGGCAAAGCCCTAGGCAAACCAGGGTGGGTTGTGTCCTAATGTGGGATAGGGGAGTCAGCCATGGACGGCGGCAGCTTCCCAGTCTCCCGAAATCCAGTTTCAAGTATTGCAGAACTCCTATTTCTCGTTTCAAGGAAGTAAGGAACAGCTCTTCCCTTTCTTCCTATGGGGAACCTCCAGGTAGTTTTTGCTTTTCGGGATGGAGTAGGGGGGCAAGAGTAAAGCAAGTTAGTACACTGCTCGACTGCAGAAGCTTTCTGCAGGACAAATGGCTGCAGTAGTCACTATAGACTCCTCTAGGTTTCAGATATTCCCTACCCCTCTTCTATCTCGCGACCCCCAAACTGACAGAAACCCCCTTCCATGCTAAGAGAGATTTAATTAGTTATTAAGGTTGCTCTCAAAGAAATGTCAGAAATTATGCTCTGTTGCGCAATCCCATCCCCATCCCGCTAAAACTACCTGGCTGGTGGTACCA